GACCCCCACAAATTTCTATTTGCTCAGTAAGCACCTTTCAGCGTTGTTTTTTTAATATCTAAGTACTAAGAATATTTTAAGTTAATTAATTTAAATGATGTTTTTACCAATACCAAAAGCCTTTCAAAATGCATTATGTTCCAGTCAGTATTTGAAGAGCCTCACGTGTTTTATTCAGAATGCTGAGCTACTTAATGAGCAAAGGACTTCAAATGCCATTTGAAAATATGAAACCTTTGTCTTTTAACTTGGTTTTGCTTCCATGCATAATATGGCTCTAAAATCACAGTAGTGATATTTATTACCTGTCCTTGCAAAACTGTGCGCAATACATCTTTCACATTTCATTGAGAAGAAAAGAAACTTAATTCCACCAGGATCTCCATTATTAGTTCTTCCTCTTGATTTTTTTTCCCCATGGGGATTTTGTGTTGGCTGGATGGTGCTCTGAAATCCCTAGACAGAGCTGCATTTTACAGAGGCAAACTGGAAGAGCAAAAATCTATTTTTGAGTAAAAGAATTAAATCTTATATTTTGTTATCTGGCTCACTAAGTCCAACCTAGGCATTATTGGGTTCATATTCAATATTAGGCAATTCTTTTTTTCCTCACATAGCAGTTTCCCTTCATTTCCAATAAAGTCCTGTTTTTACTTTGTTCCATTACTAACAGTAATTAGCCATTCAATTACCCCCTCTCTCCCCTTGAATTCTTCCAATTCTAAAGAGTACTCTACAACCACATCTTCATGCTGGATCGTCTCTCTTGAAAATGTCAATTAATCAGCCGCAAAAATTGAAATATCCCTTTCCATATTCATCACAGATGTTTATTTTTCATGGGCAAGAGTGGCTGAATGAAATATTTGAGAATCAACTTGATGAGAAATTAATTGTTTACTTCTTGAATTGTCCCAATCCTCACTTTGAAGGATAGTGAGGCTTTTAATCTTCAGGTAGTTACCCTGTGATGAAAAATGTCAAAAATGGAGAAATAATTCCAAGGTCACATAACCTGTCATGTTGTTCTAAATAGTGCAACATTAGAAAGTGTTTATTCCAAGTCCTTTCTCTATGGGATAAAGAAAATAATGTCCATTTGGCCCTTCTCACCTGTGTCCCTTGTTACAGTGATGTCTAAAAATGTGTCATTTCTATATAAAACCAGCTGTCTTATTTCCAGAAAAATAATGGATTATTTTGTTTCAGTTTTGTTAAGTATGGTCAATAAAAGTATGTAATCTACCAATAAAAGTATGTGAAAGTCAGGACCTATCTTTTGTCTTCCCTACAGACTCATTTGCCATATTCAAAGTTTAACCTTCACTCTCTAGCAACATTGAATGACACGGGTTTTCCCAAAGTGATCATTTTCCTTTCTTATATCTTTTCCTTTGCAACTGAGAGTCTCTCTCTCTCTGGTATGTACTTCCCTTTCTTCACTGTCCATTTATGTAAATATATACTCTTTCTTCAACACTCTGATCCAATGTCATGTTTCTAAACATTTCTTTCTAAACACACACACACACACACACACACACACACACACACACACACACACACAAAGACATAGCTGTTTTCTCTCTTCCTGGCCCTCCAATGGCACTTTATAGATTAATTCATTGAATTAGAATTATTTGTTTACACTTTATTCTCTTATGAGATTGTGAAATCCTAGAAGTCAAGGTATATCATTTATTCATTTTTGGATCCCAGATTCCGTACTGCCATGGTAATTAATGGGCACTCCATATGTATTTGTAAATAACTGATTGGATAGTATATGTTGACTTCTGTAAAAGCATTCTTAAATTCTGGAAAATGATACTATTTTTCTATATTGAGCTTATTATCTATAACCATAATGACCAAAAGTAAATATGCTATTTTAAATTGACTTACGTTAAATAGACTTATTGTGGTGATCATTTTGCAATATATACAAATACTGAATCATTATGTGGTACACCTGAAACTAATATAATGTTATATGCCAATTATATTTCAGTTAAAAAAGTAGATATGCTATTAAAAGTTGAAATTTTAAAGTTTTTCATGAGACATAAGTAAAATTAAGAATTCTTAACTGAAAAAAGAAAAAAAATGTGGTGATGTATAATCTGAATTTATTTGTCAAAATTAACTCATATTTAGAATATAAAATGTCTACAAAGGAGGGACCTGAGTAAAATAAGACTTCTCAACTAAAAGGTAAGTTGAAAGTTAGCTCTTGCGATCTCTTTATAAAATGAGCCTTCGTGGTTAATTTGCAAAACAGAAAGGAGACTTGAAGTAAACAGAGTTAAGGGCTAAACATCTCTATTCTGATTATTTTAGAGGGGCCTCAGCAATGAGGATTGAGTGTACCTTCCCATACCAATTTGTGAACAGTCTAGAGTGACCCAAATTGTATTTTGTACTCTTTTTACTTCATTTTAAATACAGCCAAGATATCTTCTATTTTGAAAACAAACAAAAATAGAAACCAAATTATAACCAATTTATAAAATTAGTCATTTAGGATACATAACATTCCGTTATGTTTACTGCTTTCTTCCTTATTACTTTTCTAATAACTACAAGGATTTGATTTTCTGTTAAGATGATTAAAATGATTTTAGTAAGAATGTACCTGGATACTTGGAAGAGAGGAAGTATAGTTTATGAGTTCCAAAATAGCAATATTTGAAAACATGTGCATGAAAGAACTTTTGTAAGCATTCTTGGAATGACTGTTCTCCCCAGCTACTCGCCCCCCCCCACCCCAACTTAAAAAAAAAAAGCCTTGGGTGGAGTTAAGAACTCTTTTCAAATCTTAAACAATAAGTGGAAATCCTGAAAATGTATTCTCCTTTATTCAGTGGGGGAAAACACTTTAAAGCTTCTGTCTCTCTCTTTTTTTTTTTTTCTCCTAAGAATTGTTTAGCAAAGGATTTACTTGGCTTCTATTTTGAACAGAAAATTCAGTTTTAACGGCCTGAAATATAATGCCATCTGCTTTTCTTCCTCTCCCCCCACACAAAACACAATCCCTTTTTTCAAACATAACAAGTACATGGCCCAAATAACCCAGATAAATATATCAGTTCAACTAATTCTTTACTTTAACCAAGGGTAAAATTAAAATGTGCCATAAAAATGTAAATGTGAATGCAAATATAAAACATACAAAGCACATCTATACATTTAAATTTCTTAAGTTCTAATTAAGTCATTTTGTCTTCTCTATATATTTACCAGGGTAGAGGTAGCTATGAGGTGAGAAATGAGGGCACAATACAAACCAGGATGGACATTAGCAGGTGGGACCAGGAGCCAGGGGACCAAAGAATCACAGAACCCCTCTGAAGCCAGTTTCCTCAAATCTGTACCACCTGCTGGGCCCACTTACACATCTCCCCATAGCAGCAAATAGCTGGCATGTGGAATATACTCGAAAATAGAACTGGAATTCAGTAATAATGTATTTTAAACTACTTTAAAAGTGAGAAGTGACATACAAATGTGAAATATCATTATATATTTATATTCAGGGTATTCTGAACTGATTAGTTCTTGTAAATATCATTCTGACTGATCTCTAATGTAAGAAGGGGACTTAATCCCATTTTCAACAAGATTCCCATGAGAAAAAAAACCATTTTATTTAGGGTTTATTTTGCATTTCAAAGAATGCTTAAAATTCTACTCATCAATCTTTATTACAGCCTAACATTTCTTATATAGCCGTGATAGACTTCAAGAGTATCCTGAATATGATTCTTTCTGGCCTTATTCAGAGACTTGATCTCTAATATCAGCCCCAGCTTTGATTCTAGGAAGTTTATGTGGTGCCAGCTTTTCTAACCTCAGAAGGAGGATGAGTTACAAGCCATATCAGTGGACACATCCCTAAAATAGCCAGACACATTTCCCTTCATGCCTAATCTTTCCTGTTTCTACTAAAGCCTTCACAGGCCAGGAGTTAAGCCACAACAGAACAGCTCCCAGATCATCCTGATATGCACTTGAAAAGTAAAAACTAAGGAGCTAGTCTAAGAAGCTAGACTCTGTTATTGGAAAGCCATGGGCGATTTTTGACTCCGAAAATTCTTAACATTCCTAATTTTCTGATTTCTCCACTTCAAGATCTGTGTAGAAGAACTGAGATTTGTACACCTTTCAGACATACAACTCTGAAGGTGGTTCTTGCTTCTCCATTTCCCTTTGCCCAGAAGCAACTCCAAAACAATTTTTTTTTTTTTTTTTGCTTAGGCTCCACACCCAGTGTGAAGCCCAACATGGGGCTTGAACTCATGACCCAAGATCAAGACCTGAGCTGAGATCAAGAGTCAAACATTTAACCAACTGAGCCATCCAGGCGCTCCTCCAAAACACATTCTTAATTTGTTATGGGGAAATTCTCAACACATCCTATGTGTGTATGTTTCATTGGTGTTTGTAGTTGGTTACCCCTTTACACTGTTGATGGCCTTTCTTGGGCTCTAAACTTATTTCTTGAAGTTGTTTACTATGCATTATGTAAAAAATTGACATTTCATATCTCAACTGTTTTTTATTCATAATGTCTCCTTTCCCTGATATCTACTGAATGGGTTAGACAAACACATGGCAAAGTAAACTAGCCATAATTAAATGGCAAATTCTAGCTTACAAATCCTTCAACAAAGCAGAAAAAAGCATATAATTTACAATGTTAAAAAATGATCAATAATATGAATGCAGTTGACTAAAACCATTATTATTCTGGAACACAAATTAAGCAGTAAGAAGATACTTTTTAATTCCCTTCTAATAAAAGCAGCTTATTTTGCATATCAATTTGCACATTTTGTCAAATAATATAACACACTAGATAGTGATGAGTGTTTAGTATCTCCGTGAAGATTTTATGTCAATAACGACTCTCAAAATTTCTTGCCCCTAACTATAATGTAGTACTTTGTGAAAACATAACCGAGCAATGGGCAGAGCATCAATAGTGCCAAAGTACTCACGAGAGGATATTCCCAATATAAGCGTAGTAGGAGCAACAGTAGGGTGTGGTTCCATCACAGCAGTAAGATCTGCAGTCTTTCCCACACTGAGCAAGGCAATCCTCTGCAACATAAACACCGCATATGTCCTTTATAGTTCTGAAATCACAGCTGCATTAAAAAGTCTTCTATTTCATATCTCGCCCTCAAAGACCACTCTTCAGTGCATTTAGATATTCACTTTATGTACTCAGAATTCCAAGACGTGTGTAAGCATCTAAACGAGTCTTCCTTCCCTCCTGGACATAAATCTAGAAGAGGCAAAGGTCATTCTTTTTTTAATTTCCTAATCAAGTACCATAATTGGTAGTTAGAATTGTTGAATGAGACAATGAAAGGAGAAATGAATGATCCAACGAATCAGTCATTCAATTTTTCAATACAATTCTTTTTTTAACAGAGTTCTTATAATAATTTTGAAATGATAAAGTCTTGACTTGAGGGTCATACTCCCAATTAACTTCATTTTATGGAAAGTGTGATTGACGTGTATAAAGTTAACTGGAGATAATTTTAAAATAATGTATATTTTCATGACAGTGTATTATATGTTATCCTTTCTCTACACTTTTTTATCTTAGTAATTACACTTTGCGCACATCTGGTCACACAAATGAGTCTGCGTATACGTCCTGTCAATCCATCTGGATTGGAAGATAATTAGTTACTTGTAGAAGAGGTTCCTGTAGATAACTAACTTGTAAATAATTAAGAATTTATTTAATGCCAGATTTAAGAATCAATAAGTTATGAAACAGCACTGTGGGAAGAGGAAAAGGTATTTTCTGAGTAAAAAGGACTTGTTGGAGCTGATAAAACCAAATTACTGTCTTTTTTCCCCTATGTTTTGGGTAATGAAAATTAGACCCAAAATGCTGAATAAAAGTTACCCTGGCTTTTAAAATTCTTTGTGCTACCTCAGTGATTTATGTTAAGATTATCAGTTATACTCGGTGGTATAAATTATAATGGATATGTGAGTTTCAGGTACATGATTAGGAAAACATTAAGTTATGGGCTGGTAATTTAAGTTATGTGCTTAAGAATCACAAAATAAGTCCTTTCCAGCTCATTCTCTAAAGGTAACATCAACCAAGAACTAAATTATAGAACACTTTTGCTTTCCTGTCGAATCATAACTGAAAAGTGCACGATGTTACACTATGTCTGTATGTCCATGTGATTGATTTATCCAGAAAGGAAAATTCAGATTTTGTTTTTAAATCACCTCCCTGGCAGGATGATTTTTGACAAATGGATGTGATCAAAAGTTCATTCACCTTTGTCAATACTGCATGGCCTTTGTAGAGCAAGTGAAAACATTCGTATTTTTCCCCTCGATTTTATTTCTACCTTAATGTTTTCTTCTGAGATGTCATAAAAAGAAATGAGAGGAAAAAATAATTACCCTTGTAAGATTCAGAACTCTACTTAAAACCACTGTTAAATTTTGAAGACAGAAACACAATCTAATGATTTTTCGATAGTGTATGCTTTTTGCAGAGTACATCACACTTTTTAAGACTATTTTATCATTTTCTCAGTGAATTTCTATAGCTCTCATTTTTAGTGCTGTTTAGTGAATTCAAATATTTAGACTAGTTAGTTGTCTCAAGAGGCTTCACAGGGATGTTTTGCTTCATGTTCTTTAAAGTCATTTAGATAGTGGGAGAGCTGAGGTCCCCACTTCTGTCTGAGCAAGACAACCCCTACGTAAGTAGCTTCATGGGGTGCCTTGTGAACGACGCCCATGATAGTGACATCTTATTCAGCTCTCCATGAATATCAAAGATCCAATTACTATTATTGTATTCCAATTACTACTGTTATAAGGACATGGTGTTATCAAAATATTTTGAACCAAAGTTACAGGAAACCAAGCCCATTATCATGTAGCCAAGAAGCTGGATTATTCCTACAGCAAACATCAAGATCATGTCACACATTGTTCATTATTTTTTTATGGCATTTTCCAGCACTCCTGTCAACTTCCCAGAATTATACAACTGAAAAGGGCAGATTTAATAGTACGGCAAATACATTCACAATCACATTTCCAAACTCAGGTTTTGACCACGCCTCAAATCTTATTTTAATGTTAGGTGCTTTCTCCAGTTTATTTGAGAATAATTCTATGAAGATCAGATTTGGAAGATACCAGAGCATTTTCTCACTTGTAAAGAATGGAACATTCCAATTGTTTCAGAAGATAAATGACATTACTTCTAATATTCAAGTTAATATCCTTGACAAATAGCCAGTGGAAACTTTCTTCAGTGACTTTAATTAAAAGCATGATCTGGAAGAAGGTTCTCCAACCCTCGCCCCGCCTTGAGGAATGTGTAGCACAGGAAAAGCAACATCTGGCCGCAAGCACTTGCTCAGAAATGGTTCTTGTAAGCTACAGCTGAGGATAAGAAAGGAAGGAAAGGGAGGGAGGGCTGAGGCCCGGGGAAGGTAAAACCTTGGCCAAATCCTGTCTTTGCCGCCTGCATTGGGAGTTGGATAATAATATAAACTTCACTGGGTCTCTTTCCAAAGGTGGTCCCACGGCAAAACATGATGCTTCAGGTAGACAAACTTTGTTCTTACCTCCTTAACGAATGCAACATGAATTTAATGCGTTTGCTTTCGGGGAAAATAATTCAGGCTATGGGCAATGCCTCTACTTAGGTTTTTGTCCCATTAAAGCTGGCAATTCATTTAACGGGGTGTCTCAACTAGTATAGCTGCATGGTCTCCCCACTGAACTCCAGTCCTCACTTCCAGCCACATCTCTTAGTTCCAACCAAAATGAATTATATATTTTTGCAAATAGGTATCTCCTGATTTTCGCCTTTGTTCACAGTATGTCCTATTCCATTCCCCTATGTCCAAGGCTTCCCTATCAAAGGTTGAGTTCCTAAAATTCCTCCTTAATTCAATTTCTCTGAGCAAATATTTATTTATTTATTTATTTTATTTATTTTTAAGATCTTATTTATTTATTTGACAGAGAGAGAGACAGCGAGAGAGGGAACACAAGCAGGGGGAGTGGGAGAGGGAGAAGCAGACTCCCCGCTGAGCAGGGAGCCCGACGCGGGGCTCGACCCCAGGACTCCAGGATCACGACCTGAGCCCAGGGCAGTCGCTTAACCAACTGAGCCACCCAGGGGCCCCAGAGCAAATATTTATTGAGCTCTTCTTGTGGGTCAGGTCTTTTGCTAGTCTCTGGATATTACGCTGAACAAAACAGACAGACATCATCTTCATAGAGCTTATACTCTTAAGCCAGCGATGAGGTCCCCTCCTGTGAACACCTATCGCACACAACTGTCTTCTATGGCACAGCCTTTTATACATGAAAGTAGGCACGCCTTGTCTCCCGGACAAGACTCAGAGCATGGCTTCTGTCCTATACATCACGCAAAATACCTCACTCGCCAAATATTGCATAAATAAGTATGGCAAGCATAATAGGGCTTCTGAAGCAAAGAGTTCAGGAATTAACACCAAAGAACACGTTAGCTAAACATTTCTTATCAAAGACAGTATGTCAATTCAGTATTACTGGCTTGTGATTACTTTGTAGCTTCCTAGGGAGGGATGTGGGAGGAGAGAAGAAATGAATGGAGGAAAACTTCTAAACTAATCAAATTGTTGCCAGCCAGCTCTGCAGATTTCCTGAACCCTGGGGATTGTGCACCTAGCACTGCCGGCACAGGAGGAAAGGAAGTAAAAGTGTTCACATTAGAAGCTTTCGGTTTACCACAGGGAACAAAACAGACAAAAGAGTAAGCTGTTGTTCAAGGGCGCGACTGAGTAAAGATGAGTGAGGTCGTGTTCTATTTTCTTATTTTTGTTTTCTTTGGATAAACAGAGGCGGTAGAAAGAATCATTGCTTCAAGTGAACTAATAAGATTTTAATATAAAGCTAATATTAATGCAATTGTTTCTTTCAGTCTCTCAAATTCTGAAAACCTCACACACTGTACGTAAAAGAAATAAGCATTGCAAACAGGTTACAATGTGGTTTCTCCTCATGAAATAGGAAGTACTTTTCCTACTTTTATAAGTTTTTGTATTTGAAAGTCAGCATTTTCCTTGCAATAAAATATCTTTTAAATAACTTATGGACAGCCACTAATTTACATTTTAGTGTACAAATTGAAAATTTCTATAGAAGTTTCCGGAGTCATTTCTGGCAAGGCTGAATGAGTTCGATTCTCTTGATGTTCTGCAACAATGTTGAAGAACATCTTCATTTCAATTGCAGTATCTTTGTAAGTATCAAAAGCTAAATCAGTGCTACATAAATTTACCTACTGTCTGTAATTTTTGTCCTTGGAAGTGAGAGACATAAAAACACTTTACAAACAACTTTGCTTTTAGCTTGTTTTATGAATACAAAGCAGATGCAAAACCACATGTGTAATTAACCTTATATATGAAAAACCAGTGAAGGGTCATTTTGAGCTCGATCTCAGTCACAATACGAGAAAACCGCTTTGCTCCATCAATTATTAGCAATGCTCAGGAAGAATAATTAGGAGGGAAATGAAATCCCTTTCACCTATAAACAGTGCTTAACGAAATCAATGAAAACAGACTAGTCTCTGGGTGAATTTAGCCCCTCAAAAACTTTATATTTGAACTCAAAGCATCCAATTACCCAGACTACTACCCTTGAGAATGACCTAAAGAAGAAACCCAAAGGTCTAAAGCTTTTTTATTTTGAAATATTCAGAATGTGGGTGTAGCAGGGGCAGGGGGTAGCCTACTGTGAAATGGAAAAGTCACCACATTAGTTTATTTTAAAACTTCAGCAAATACCTCTAATCTCAGGTGCTTTTAAAAGAAGCTTTTCTCCCACCCTCAGTCTCCGCCCTCCAACCTCAGATTCCCGAGTAGTGAATAGGATTGGGTAACTTTTATGCTATCCAGAGAGTGAAATTCCCTAACTGTGGGACTGGGGTTTTTAAGTTGCTTGCGGAAAGAGAAAGAAAGCGAAAAGGATAAAAGGGAAAGTTAAAGAAAAGGAACAAAACAAAACCAAACCGCGTGGAAGTCGAGTCGAGGCACCCGGCGCACCGGCTTCTGTGGCTACCCGGCGGGGACCACACAGTCCTGGCCCTCCCACTAAGGTCCCCGTGCGTCTCGCCCTACCCGCGTTGCCCCGAGGGCGACCCAGGCTCAGTCCCAAGTCCCCTTCCCCTCTCCCGCCACCCCAAGCCACTGACCTGCGTAGACAAAGAGCAGGACCAATTTCGGAAGCAAGATCCCTGGACACCCGGGCAGTCTCCGCGCGTCCATCCAAGCCGGTGGCCGGAGGTTGCGCGCCAGGACAGACGGGCAGACAGACTGGAAAGGGGGCTGGGAGCGAAGGGAGAGCCCCAGACGCGGAGGGGCTGGAGGGCGGTCAGAGGGAGAGGGCAGCACTCCCGACACGGGGGTCGCGGGGAGACGGGGCCATTGCCCTGGGAGCCTACGAGGGGAACCCGGGCCGGCCCGCGCGGGATTGCGCTGGGACGGAGGTCTCTTTGTCTCTGCCCGCGGCGTTCAGGCGGAAGACGAGGCAGCCCGCTCCTGAGTCCTGGGCCACCGGGGCTCACATTTCATCTTCGCGGGTGGCACCGACGTGGGGCTGGGGGCGGGGGTGGCCCCGACTCCTCCCCACCCTCCGGTTCTTCCTTCTGTAGAGAGGGACTCCCTCAGCTAGATGGAACTTTCTCTAACCCTATGTTTTGGCCATTGCTGAGCAGTTTAGCAAGCTCCTTTTTCTTCCTGCCCTCTACTCCTGTTTTTCCTTTAGAAACAATAAGTGAAGAAGAGTTTAGTTTTTTTATCTTTAAACATATGTAGGGAATTTTCAGGGTTGAAGGTACTGAACAAAGAAAGCCAATAAAGAAAGCCCAGGAGAATTGGAAGGTACAGAAACGGTGTAAGGTATCTCTGCTGAAAGCTGATAGAATATTTATTTGTTAAACATCTAAGGCCTTGCCAGTAAAGTCATGGAAAACAAAAAAAGAACATACATGGTCATCACTATTATTAGACACTGTTCTGGAGTTACTGGCCTATGCAATTAGACAAGAGAAAGAAAAAAAGAGTTATAAAAACTGGAAGCAAAATTATCATTTGCAAATGATTTGCTTGTATATGTGGAAAATCAAAGAGAATCAACTCTACAACTCTTAACTAGAGTTAAGTGACTAAAGAATCAATCATTTTCTTTCATGCAAAAAAATCAGAAAGTTCTCAGTTTTATGCATGAAAGAAGAAAAAAGAAATGAATAAGTGAATAAAGACAATTTCTTTACTTATTAAAGAAGCCCCAACATCATAGAGATAACAGATTTCTCAAAATTAATCTAAAAATCTGGGAATTAAACTGAATTTAATAGAAATACCAACATGAGCTTTTTTCAAACCAATCTGATTCTAAAGTTTATGTAGAAAATAAACCTGTAAGAATATCTGTTAAAAAATGAGAGTGATGAATAGGATAAGCATCAATAGAAAATAAATATATTATAACTTCACAATAATTCAAACAGTTTTGATTAACACAAGAATAGATGGGCTCAGTGGAACAGAATGGAGAATATAAAAATAGAGATACATATGTACAGAAATTTACTTTATAGTTTTAAAAAAAGACAGTTTTAAAGCAGAAGAGGAAATGATGGGTTATCCAGTGAATTGTGCTGGGGCCCTAAGTAGGCATCTGTGGAGTCTCATCTCCTTTCATCAATATCAATTTCATATGAATTAAATATTTAAGCTTGAAGATGCAATTATAAAAATATTAGATAAAAAAATGGGAGGATGACATGTAAATAATTATGAAAAAATTATGGAAGTCTTTTCTAAGCATTATAAAAAACTCAGAAGTCATAAAAGAAACAAATTGACCAATCTGACTCCATAAGAATTAAAACTTTCTATATATGGGGGCACCTGGGTGGCTCAGATGGTAAAGCGTCTGCCTTCGGCTCAGGTCATGATCCCAGGGTCCTGGGATTGAGCCCCGTATCGGGCTCCCTGCCCCGCGGGAAGCCTGCTTCTCTCCCTCTCCCACTCCCCCTGCTTGTGTTCCCTCTCTCGCTCGCTCTCTCTCTGTCAAATAAAATCTTTAAAAAAAAAAAACTTTCTATATATGATAAGCCACACATTTGACTGGCAAAAATATTTACAATGCATAGGACAAAGTCCTGATCTCCTAATATGTAAAGAACTTTAAGAATCAATAAGGAAAAGAAAGCCAATAGAAAACTGAACAGGGATATTAATAGAATTATCTATCTATCTATCTACCTATCTACCTACCTACCTATCTTTAGTCTTCTAAACATCCTAACTCCCCCAAAAGAAAAAAAGGTAAAAATCAAATTGACAGTGAGACATCATTTTTCATATAGCAGAGCAACCAAACACAAAACAAAACAAAACCAAACCCAACTTTTAAGGGAGCAATGTATCAAGATTCAAATGCACATGCAATGTAATGTAATCAGTCCTCCTCTAGGAATTTAGTCCTATAAATATGTTGCTGCATGGGTGTAAGAGGATAGGAGGAAAAATCACTTTCAAATAAATATAACCTGAGATCCCTAGTGTGTTCTATGCCTCAGTGAAGTCTTAGCCATCCATCAGTCCCATAAGAAGTCTGATCAGGTCCTTCTCTCCCTCAGTCCCAACAGCTGATCTATCACCAAGTTTTACTGATTGTGCACCTGAACAACACTCAAACATATTTCCATTTTGCTTCTATCTCTGCTCTAATCTAGGCTCTTAGAGTCTCCATTACAACCAGTATCCCTGCCTCCAAGGATATTCTCCAGACTGAAGCTGGAATATTCCTTCTTAAACTATGGATTTTATCACATTCACTCGCCTGTTTAAAACCCAGTGCATTCTTCTTGCTCTTGGGTTAAAATCCAGACATTTAATCCGTGGTTTTCAGAAAATTTATCACTAGGTCCTGTTGCTCTTAACCCGATCTCAACATTCTGCTGAGGAGTACAATCTTAAAATAACTGTGAGAATTTCTAAATAGCTGGGAGAATACCTGAAGGAAGTTTCAGAGATACTAGGATTTTGAGTTCTAAAAGAAGATACAGGTGTAAGTCAGTGTTTGCGAAGCTAGAGAATGATACTGAAGGTTTTTGGAATGGAAAGTTGCTTGCCTCTGCAGATGAAACTGGCTGTAGGACCCTAGGTCCAGGATGGAGAAGCAGGCATCTAGTGGTGAAGGACTGGACCACACCTGCTCAATTGTTGCACGCAGCTCTGGGAGAGGCTGCCTGTTGCCACTGATGCCAGTAGAAAGTTGAAGTATTGATCAGAGTAGCCTCTTCCAGCTTACTTTTGAGAACAGAGAGCCTTCTCCTCATACACTTCAATGAAATGACCAAGCAAGCTTACCTGCTGGTTCAACATTGCACAAGAAATTCCATCTTAAAGTACTCGGGTGATTAGGAGTCCTAATTCAATTGACATCCAAAGACAAAGAAAGATATCAAGCCATTTAAGGAAATGTGGTAGCTTAAAGGAAGGATTTGGAAAAAAAAAAAGAAAGAATATGTATGTATATATGGATGGACATGTATACACAAAAAATGAAATGAAAAACCTTAAAACACAGCAGTAGAGGGCAGAAAAAGTTTCTGGAAGTTAAAGTAAAACTTGATTGGAGATTTTAAAAATATCACAGAAAAAGTTATAAAATCGTCACAGATGAAAAAAACAACTTAGGCTGTAAGGTCAAATAGAGAGCATATTTCATAACATAGAAAAATATGCAATGAAATAGATGATGAATAAAAATATAAGAAATACTAAGGCACATAGAAGAGACCAAATATGGTCTAGATGCAAGCTAGAAAGTTTTAAAATAAACAAAAAGTGAAGAAGCAAACATTTAAAAGATTATTTTTTTAAAATTCCAAGCTATAATAAAATTTGAATTTTCAAATTTAAAATGGTGAGTGAGTTCCAAGAAAACTTTTTTTTTTAAAAGAGGCACACAGGGGGGATGGGCTAGATGGGGGATGGGTATTAAGGAGGGCACCTGTTGTAATGAGCACTGGGTATTGTATGTAAGTGATGAATCACTGAATTCTACTCCAGAAACCAATATTGCACTGTATGTTAACTAAGTAAAATTTTAATGAAAAATAAATTAAAAAATTTAAAAAGAGACATGCATATATACATATCCTAGAGACCTATTTGAGCTAGTATAAATTTAAAATCATATAAATTTTTCAGTATAATAAAAAAAGTTTTCTTAGGAAGAGAATTAGACAGACATCAGACTTCTCATTTGCAACCTTAGAATTTAAGAGAGTGAAAATATTTCTATACCTTTGAAAGATAAAGACTATAGTCCAAGAATCCTATTTCCAAATCAGACTCCAATACGTTTATAACATTATTTATTATAATTTTAAAACATGATAAAGAGCTTATATATCTAGCAGAAGTAGAACAGTTAAGTGAATTAGGATACATGCATATTATGGATTAATATCCAATACTTCAAAATAATGAGGAAAGTCCTTATGATATACAGTTAGGAGGAAAATTGGGAGAGGAAAATATCCAAGGGAAATAACCCATGGATAAATACATTGTGCTATATATCCATGCAGTGAAACACTACTTGGCAATAAAAACAAATTTGAAGAACATGCAACAACATGAATGAATCTCTGGAAGGATATGCTGAACAAAGAAGCCAGACACAAACAAATCACTGCATAATATTGTTTACATGAAATTCTAGAAAAGGCAAAATTAATTTATAATGACAGAAAGCAGATTAGTGGTTGCCTGGGAATGGGGGTAGAAATGCAAATTTGATAGCAGACGGTCATGAGGGAACTTTTGAGGGGTGATGGCAATGTTCTATATCTTGGTAATGGTGGCCATCACCCTGATGTATGCATGTGCTGAAGTCATGCATACACTTAAGTGTACACAGTACACTTAAAATATGTATGTTTCAACGTATGTAAATTAACCTCAGGGAAGTTGAGTTTTTTCTTGAAGATTTATTTTAGAGAGAGAGAGAGCTGGGGGAGGGGCAGAGGGAGAGATAATCCCAAGCAGACTCCCTACTGAGCACAGAGCCCAACGTAAGGCTTGATCCCAGGACCCTGAGATCATGACCTGAATCGAAATCAGGAGTCAGCTGCTCAACTGACTAAGCCACCCAGGCGCCCCAAGGAAGCTGAATTTTTAAAAGCTATCATTAATACATATATGGGAGATAAGAGTACAGACAAATTTGTAAAAATAGCTATTTTTTTGACTCCTGGAATTCTAATTGTTATTTAATAGTTTCCCCAAATTTACACTATAGCTCTACATAGCTCTTAACATATAATAAGTACTAGCTTTAAAAAGATGCATCCATCTTTTGCAATATTATTTTTGTCATTAAACTCATGTCTGTGGAGAAGATTTAATAATACAGAAAAATCTCATGGTCTTTCTAAGGAAAAGCAAAACTACATTTCCTTTGAGATCCTAATTTAGTGAATATATAGATATGTACTTCTTTATTCTTGTTTATGTGTTTTGCAAATACTTTATAGTAAACATGTATTCTT